GTGCGTGCGTGCGTGTGTGTGTGTGGGGGGGGGGGGTGGGTGGGTGTGAGTGTGCATGCATGCGCGCGTGCGTGCATGCGTGTTTGGATGTGACAAGGGGCGGCGGGGGATTGAAGGGGGCTGAAACAGGTTGTCTCTCCTCATGTGCAGATCAACACTCACAGGCACATACCTGAAATAGCAAACTGGAAAGTGGCCACTGGCCTTTATGGCAGCTACTGCCGCAGCTGTTGTCTCAAACCCGTCCACCAGGTACACCTGGGGAGCAGCGAGTCACAATTGCATCGTGGTGGTAAGGAATCTCCCAAGCGCTGCATACATTGCTGGAAGGGCCAAGATGCGAGCAGGTTGCACGAGGCAAGGGCATGCAGGGGAAGCTCTGGGTAACGCCGGCCGTGCCCCTTTCCAGAGCGCCTGTGCACCTGCACGCCCGGGATCAGGCTCGTGCTGGGATTGAACCCGCCAGCAAGCACATAATCAAACTTCAGGCCCGCTGCTGGTTGCCACCATGTTGCGTTCGCTGTGGCGGCGGCAGCATGGTCGAGGTCCAGCACACCCACTGCGGTACGAAGCGGTGCCCGGAGGGCAGAGGTCAAGGAGACCGAGCGCATATGACTTATTAAATCATATTGCATAGATGAGGTCTGCCACAAGCTTGTATCGGACGACATATGCGGACTTCATGGGATTCATACCTGCGACCAGACTCAGGAGCAGCCAGGTACCACGCCCCATTGTATGATATGTGACCTGTATCAGCTATAATTCAACAGTACTTCCGTCTGCAGGCTCCGAGATCGTTCTTTGCGTGCGAATTCACTCTCTTCCAGGCGCCGAGCTGTTGCAGACTGATGTATACATGAAAGGAAATTGAACAACTGAGAAAGATACCTTGCGTGCAGTTGTTCCAGATCCTGGCTGGCATGTTCTCCTTGGGTGGCGCTCATCGTGGTAGCTGACGGCAACTGCTCGCCACCCTGCGCGGAACACTCGCTGCAGGCAAGCTCTCAGCGCCGCGTGCAGACCCAAAGCACAGATAAGATGTATTTGACCCCTGGGGTGTTGTTGCCAAGCCAACAAATAGGTCATGACAACGGCGAGTGCATATGTTTACTTCATGCCCTCCGTAGCATGGTGCAGCAGCTGCGGGTGCAACTCTCCCACATCCACAGTCCGGTAGTCAAACCAGTCCAAGCTCCTATGTTCCTGGAAAGCCGCAGAGAGGCGATCCTCTGGGGCGCACGCCAGCTGGGCCGCCGGTAGCACCCGCGCGGTACCCTGAGTGCGATTCAGGTGCAGGAGAGCGAAGCCCGAACATTAGCTGTTGTGCTGTAACGTCGGCCTACATGCTGTGTCGATGTGTGGCACCCTGTGATGTATCCTTGATCTGTCTAACAGACCATCATGCATCATGCATGCTCTGTCACGCAAATAGTGGCATGCACATGCACATGCGCGCGACAACTTTTCAACGTCGCAACGGCGATGCGCTCCCATGTGCACCCACACGCACCCACCAGCCACTGCGCCACGCTGCCGCCAGCAAAGTGCGAGAGGTCGTACTCCTGGAACAGCCGCAGCGCCAGCTCAAACCTCTCCACAAAAGGAAAAATCACGACATCTGCAACCGACAGCTGGGCCCCGTTCAAGTACGGGCCGCCGGACGCTTGCAGTGCGCTAGCCAGCGGCGCCAGGGACGCCTCAAAGCGGGAGAGCTGGGAGGGCGTGGCTGCGGAGCCGATGCCCCAGGAGTGGCTGGTTGTGCCTGCAATGGCGTCCAGGCCTGTCGCAGAAGGGAGAGGGCAGCGCGCATGGGGTCTTGTTCATGCATGTTTGAATCGAGGCGCCCCAATTGCATCGCGCCGTTTATAATTATGATGGTGCAAGAAGCAAAAACAACGCGGCATGGAAGTACAAAGGGAGAGGAGCAACTTTTTGTGTACATGTGTGGCTTGCGTGTGCCACGCCATTTACCTGCTGACACAACTCCTGGTGCAGCAGAGTCGACCAGGTCGTCCATCGCCCGCCTCAGGGCGCTGTCGTGTGGTGTAAGGCTGGCCGTACCCTCAAAGGTCCTGTCCAGCCACCTGATGGCGCGTCCGCATGGAAATGCACAACAAAGATTGGATTTGCTTGCAGCAGGCAGCACCACCTGTGTACCTGCACACACAAACACTGATGTGGCTGTGGATGCGTGTCACCACGCCATCGCCGCATCGATCATGTGACAGCCCGTCTCCGGCCGTACTTGAAGTCTTGCTCACCTGACAATGTCAACGCTCTCTAGGATGGTTTTCCCCTGCCATTGCACCGCTGGCACCAGGCCACGACCATTCACTGACTTGTACCACGATGGCTTGCGCGATAGGTCGATCTGGACCAGGTCAAATGGCAGATCCTGACGCGCGGCCAGCCAATTGGGGGAGGAGTTCTTAGAAAGTCGTCGGAATCCGGGGTCAAACTGCTGAGTGCCTGGGCACACTGTATGGACCAATGGGTGGCACGGGCTAGAAAACTTTCAGGATATGAGTTGTCAGTGTATGGCAGAAGGGGTGTGGGCCGCTCCAAGAAACGACCCCTGCACAAACGCACAAGGCGAGTGCTGGCTGGCAAACGTGCGCCCGTGTGCATCGGCTAGGATGCTCACCTTGTGCAGCAGCGCCATCAGGGCCCTTTGTGCATAAGGGCAGCAGGTGTGCGTGTACAGCACAAGCCGCTCGCGACTGGGCAGTGCCGCCTGGAGGGCGCGCCCGTGGTGCAAGCTTTGCATGCTGCCTGGCTACCTTGCTGGAAGCTTCGGGTGTGGCGCCTCGCTGTTGGTGCTGCCAAGTGCAAGGGAAAGTTGATGACCACAGGTCGCCAGTTGCAGGCGCCAGCAGTGCGGGCAGACAGAGCGCGGACGGTGCGGCCCCGCACGTGCACCGCTCAGCAGCAGGCCGACACCAGCGCTGCTCGTGCTGCCGGCTGATGGACCAGGCCCCTGCCACCACTTCGGCGAGTGTCGGCTCAAAATTCAGCTGCAATGTGGCTAAAAAACCCGAATTTGCTTGAATGGGCGTTGGGCTTGCGGCGTCCGGGGTGTGTATGAGCGGGTGTACCTTCAAGATCAGCGAATTGTCGGTGAAGGGTGACCATTCAGCACGTGTCTTGAGCTGATATGTGCCTCTGTCCCGGTATGATATGGGGCTCACTGCTTGGTGAGCCACTGCTTGCCAGGTCACTGTCGAGTCATTGGAGCGATGTACAGTACAAGGCCTCAGAGCAAGGCATGACCTACGTAGCGGCACGGGAGGGCTGGTTTCAGAGAGTTACAACGTGTATGTTGTATCATTTGCAACAGGTATCAGGGCCAGCAAAGCAGACAGGTAGCGCGCAGGCTTTTTTGAATGATTTGACCATCGTTGACTTGTTGTGCATTGCTTTCGACCGCTTCCTTGGCAGACGCCTACCTCTCTCGGACGAGCTCGAGTATGCGCACGGCCATGCACCATCTTGCATCAAGAACCACGCAAACGCCAACGCAGCGCCCCGTTGCCCCCCTCCCTCCGCCTGCCCCTCGGCGACCAGCTCAACATGTCAACCGCGCTGGCCGGCCAAGCTATCGCCTCTTGCCACACGGTGACACATGCTTGCTCAAGTGGCACTACGCATGCCTTCGTTGCTGCGATACCTTTATCCATGATGGGTTGAGTGAGGCAGCGACACAAAAGATGTGTTCTGTTGAGGCAGTGACACAACAGTGCCACTTTATGTCACGATGAAACACCGTGATGATGGTGGGTGAAGAGCGGTGATCGATTTTCCATCATCTCATTCCTACTGTCTGTGGGTTGCCATGGGAATGGCAGCTGAGCGGAGCAGCACAGTACGGTAGCCGCTTTTGCAGGGTGGATGCGCAAAATCCCATCGGAGAGAGCGTCAATGCCAGTGTTCAGCGCAGCTATGCGTTGCTTGTAGTCCCCAGATGGAAAGCATTTTGAAGGCATGGCTCTGGCTGCTCATCGCTGCATAGGAATGTGTTCGGCGCACCCTGGGCGCCGGAAAGCGCCGTCGCCCGACATGTCACCGAGTGCCACAAAGCGCGAGGCTATTTGCCAGTCCATGTTGAGGTTTTACGGTGATACTCATACTGTACGTACTACTTCTTTTCGGCGGGTGTAAATACTTGCACCTGACACTGTGATAAATCGATCTTCCAGATCCGTCGCTTGATACCTCATTTATACGGTCAATTGGAATGCTACACAGGTTTTTAGCACCCACGACCGGTGGTCGCATCCATGCGGCTGCCCAAGCAACGGCACCGCTGCCGACGCGCTCCCGCCGCACGTGCTGCTCGCCGCAAGCCTCAGCCTACACACGCCCCGGCCCCCACGGCGTGTCGCCTTCCCCGGTAGTGCTCAGAACCCCCCTCGGTGTCAGCCCCGGCGGCCCTGTGGAAATCCAGATCGAGGCCTATATCCCCTCCGCCCGGCCGCCGCCGCTTGGCTGGCCCCTGGCGCTGCTGAGCCCGGGGTTCCTCCTCAACTCCAGCCTCTACCGCTCCTATGCCGCCAGCCTCACGTCGTGGGGGTTTGTGGTGGCACTGACCGACATAATCAGCGACGGCCTCGTCGATGACACGCTCAGCGCGGTGGGTGGCTGCGGCTCGGGCACGCATGCGAGCAAAGAGCTGGCCCCACCCATGGCTGGCGCCAGCCTGGTGGGGTCTGCAGGTGGCTAGCATCACGTGCATACCCCGCAGTCGCATAGAGCAGCTGATGATAGGAGTGACTGAGCTAATCCAGCCCTAGTAATTCACAAACTGATAGACACGGTCCGATCAGCTGACCCTCAACCGCGATGCCCGCCCCCCCACACACACCCTCACTTTCTTGACTGCGCTCCCATCTGCCGGTACTCTCCCTCACCCGCAGCTATACCTTCGGCAGGGCATCGACGCCTGCGCGCGCGACCCCCGGCTGGCGCCGGTGGTCAACCCAAGCGCGGTGCTGCTTGCCGGCCACTCGCGCGGCGCCAAGATTAGCGTGCTCGCGGCAGAGCAGGTGCCCTGTGTGCGGTCGGCGCGGTCGCGTGCGTGAGCGCTCGGCCACTTCAGATCCATCCCAGCACAGTGCGCATGCGGAGCCTTGGGCCATGGGCAGCACCTTGTTGACCCCCATCGTGCTAAGATCCCCTACAAACCACCACAGCGCAATCAAAATCTTGAAAACCATCTTTCTCATCCGCAACACCGCAGGAGCCCCGCGTCAAGGGCCTCGCCCTGCTGGACCCCGTTGACTCATCCTCCATGGGCCCCCAGGGCCCCGGCTTCCCCTCCGCCCTCCCCGCCCTCCGCGCGGCCGCGTCCCGCCGCCGCCTGCCCGTGCTGGTGGTGGGCGCGGGCGCCAACGGCGACGTGATCGAGCCGGCGGCGAACTGGGACAATTTTGTGCGCGCGGCGGCGGGCGGGGGCGCGCCGACGCTGGAGGTCGTGCTGACGAGCTGCGGGCACCTGCAGTTCCTGGACAAGCAGGTGGGCGCTGTGCCTGGGCGGGCCGGCCTTCGTTTGAGGCGTCAGCAAGGGGCAAGGGGAGTGGGGCAAGCCGCCCGACGCGGTGCGTCCGTTTTTTTTGGAGGCAGGAGGCTGCCGAGAGGTTTGCATTCAAGGCAGTCGAATGCGCGCCTGCTTGTCGCCACTGGCTGACGGTACGCCGCCGCCATTGCACGCCGCAGCCGAGCGAGGTCTTGGGGAGGGCCGCTTCCCCAGCTGTCCTGCTTTTGTTTGCATTTGCTTGCAAATTGAATGCGCCATACGTGCGCTGTGTGCAGCTGCGGGGCCTGTTCTAGCTGCTAGCACATACATTGGACATCCAGGGATTACGTCACCCCAATGTCGCGCCGACCCTGCTTTATGTATGGGCAGCCGCCACCCCCCCCCCTCCTCGTCAACCACATCGACCCAAATTATCACACTTTCCCCCGCTGTCTTGCCCCCCCAAAACCCCTTCAGATGGGCCTCTTCTCCCTCTTCTCTGGTTCGGGAGAGACCCGCGACGAAGACGTGCGCCTCGCCTCACAATCCGCCATCGCCGCCTGGTCCCAGCTCGCCTTCCTGCCAGCCGCCGGCCTCGCGCCGCCGCCGCCGCCGGGCGCCACTGAGGGAGCGCTCGCGCGCGAGGCCGCGGAGCTCTCGCGGGTCGCGCCGGCGCGGTGCCAGTGGTTCAACCTGGGGGCCCTGCCCGGCGGCGCGGGCGCCGGCACGGCAGGCGGCGGCGGGCAGCGGCAGCAGGCGCCACAGCAGCAGCAGCAGCAGCAGCAGCAGCAGCAGCAGCAGCAGCAGCAGCAGCAGCAGCAGCAGCAGCAAGGCCGGGCTCAGATGCTTGAGCTTACCTTCGACCAGCTCATGGCGATGAGGGCGAAAGACCTGAAGGGCATTCTCTTGGACAGGGGCGTGGACAGCAGCGGCGTGTTTGAAAAGGAGGAGCTCGCGCGGCGCGTTTATGAGCGGTGCTGCCGCCGCTGAGCATGCGCCAGGCTGCCGCTGCTGCCGCTTCTGCTTCTGCTGCTGCTGCCGCCGCCGCTGCTGCTGCTGCTGCTGCTGCTGCTGCTGCTGCTGCTGCTGCTGCTGCTGCTGCTGCTGCTGCTGCTGCTGCTGCTCGTGTTGGTGCTGCGGCTGCTTGTGTTGGTGCAGGGGCTGATCAGCGAGCTGCAGGTGTCTGTGCATCGATTTTTTTTACGTGCGGCGCAAACTCGTGCTTGCGTACTAACTCCTGATTTTTGAAGCTGCGGTGCCCTGATGGCATCCCCATCTCTTGAGCGGATTGCACAACCTGGGTGACAGCCTGGGTGACAGCCTGAATATTGTGGCCTTTCCATTCTGATGCCAGCCCTCTGTTGGCTGCCAACATGACGTAATTACTTTGTAACTGTCCCTGTTTTTGTGTTTCAAGCATGCAGTGCACTCCCGTCGGTACCTGGAGTCAGCGCCTTGCTTACACCCACCCAACAAACTCTTCGATCGCAAGTATTAGCTTAACAAAGCCGTTCAGCATGCAGGCTTCAGGTAATGCTTGAAATTTTCACCACGTCAATCATGGTGTTCAAGCAGCGCCCACTGCGTGTCCCAGGTCACACAAAACCCCTCATATCCCTCCAGCTGCCGCCGCTCACTGAGCCCGCCCGCCGTACGCACCCAGCCCCTTGCGGCCGCAGAACGCACCCCCCCCCCTGGCAACTGCCTCGCCCCGTCACACGCCCTCGCCCCACCCCGCCTGCACCGCAAGCTCTGGCACCTCCATCCCGCTGCCATCAGACAGCACCAACGGCACGCCTTGGTCCCCGCGCTCCCTGGCAATCCCGCCACCGCCGGCCTCCTCCCCACGGCCCACGGCGGCGCCGCCCGTCGCGGCCGGCAGCGCCTTGGCGAGGCCGGGGTTGGCGGCGGCGACCTCCTCGGCGGAGCCGCCCGCTGCGCGCTCGGGCGCGAGGAGAGACGCGCGGTGGACGTCGCCGGGCGCCGAGGGCGCGGATCCTGCGTTTGTTCATCACCACCGCGTGTTGGGACCATTCAATGATGCGTGCGTGGCAAGGATATTCAAGCGCGACCTTCATATATCGCACAAGCTGCGATGATGGTGCGAAAGACTGGCTGTTGCTTGGGCCTGCTGGGCGTCCGTGCAAGGGACGGCGCTGTCCCCGACACGAAGCCAGGAGCAAAGCAGCTGGGCGCACGACTAAGCTGCATCAACGGCACCCCCCCCTCCTCCGCAGGTACGTAGGGGACAAAGATGTGCGTGCCAGGTGTGCGAGCGGCTAGCACGCCCACGCTCACCTGCTGGGTCCGAGGAGGGCGGCTGGGCCTCGTCAGCGCGCGCCGCGCCTGCGCCCGCCGCGAAGCCACTGACGCCTGGCCTTGCTGCTGCAGACTCGGCACCTGTCAGGCGACAACAATAAAGTTGAAGCGCAACAGGGACGAGGAAGCTTGCCCAAAGCCCATCAGACGTTCATACTGGGCGCATCTCATCCAGGTGGCAAGGGAGCAGGCGTAGAGCGCGCATGATCAACGAGTGCAGCGAAAAGCGCGGCGCCATGCAACCTCGGGCGCTGACCTGGACCGCACCTGAGGCGCTGGGCTGGACGCCTTGGCCTTGTTTCTGTTAATGATCAATTCAATGATGAAGGAATTTTCATAGGTTGATCAAGGTGGGAATAGTCGCATGCCGCAATGCAGCAGCACGTCATCGGTCAGCACGCACAGCTGCAGCAGGCGCGATGCGAGCAGGGAGCAGCAGCAAAGTGAGCACTAATACCATTGTGACGAGACATTCGCAGAAACCTACCTCAGAAGCGCGATCCTGGGTGGCTGGGATACTCTGTTGCTCCATTTACGAGACCGCCCGCTGCGAGGGAGAGATGATCTCGAGAATCGGTCGCGCTTGAAGCCTCCTGGATGCTTCTGAGAGACGAGAAAAAAATCACTATAATGTACTCTTTAAGAGGGTTTGATCGTCTGTCAGAGGCCGGTGCCCTCAATGCACCATGCCGAAGACTTCGTGATGTCACAGCTTCATCCCCACATCAGCAAGGCCACGATATCAAATTCTTTCGGATCGACTAAGCCAAAACCGCGGGCCGCTCCAACGATCATACGCCCACGATCACAACCGTCAGTCCAGCTTGAGCGAGCGCCAAGATGAGGGCTGCCATGCTTCAACTTGCACGTGGCGGTCTGCGTCAGCGGGGGTCGCCCTCTTGTACTGCCCTGCATAGGCCGCTCCAGGTGTGTATTTGTCAGCAAGGGCACAATTGCTCTGGTCGTGTTCTCTTCTGTGTTGACTATCAGCTGCCGCTGGCTGCGACGTAGCACCAGCCGCACAGCAACCACACGCGCGGCGGCGATGCGCCCCGCCACCCTGATGCCTGCCTGCCACGTTGGGGGACTCAGCCTTGGGCACCTCACCGCCCATTCACACATGCAGGCTTGCCTGTATGGCAACAGCTTCGGCACTGAGGCCGGTGCAGAGGTGAGCTTGGGGATCTAAAGGGACCGCTTTCATCTGCTTGCGTCGAATCTTGCGCGTGCCGGTGCCCTGTCGCACGCCCACCGCTTAATTGCTTCCGTTGCCAAGCCATGCATGGACTGAGAGTCAAGTCTCTCCAAGAATCCCTATGCGATGACTGCATGTTGTCCCGCCACCTCCTCATGCTGTCTGATGCCAGGGCTCGGGCTACTACCGGCCGGCCGGGACGCCGCCGGCAGAGGCCGGCGTCAGCCCTGAGGAGGTAACTTAGGCAGCTGGATCGGTCAGTAGGCCGCATGCACTCGTGTGCACCTTCAGCACTTCCCCCTGAACAGATGTGGGCTGAGCAATGAAGATAAGTCCCTAGCTCAATGCATCCTTCATTTCTGCGCATCTCAGGCGGAGGCACAAGCTGCGAAGCATGACCCGCCCGTCGACTCGATCCGCCACGTGAGGCACGCCGGGCCTGCGGCCTCCTCCCATCACCTCCGCTGAGCCGCCCTGGCGAGCTTCGCCTGTGCCTTGAGCGGCTCGGCGCTCGCTTAGCCTGTTCTGTCCTGGTTGACGCATGGGCTGGCGCGGCCGCCAGCAGGGCAGCATCGGCCCCAGTCTGCACCCGCGCACTGCACGGCCCCTGCTGCACCGCGCTCGCCCGCGCCGGCCGCGTGCGGGGTCAACTCCCACAGGTCATGGGGAAGGTCAACCAGGCTGTTGGGGGCAGGTGAGGGCGCGCCACATGCTTGCGGCACGTCGCGCGGGTGCGCACCCGCCCCTCGGTGCAGGGTCTGTCGAGCAAAGGAGCTCGAAGGTCCGGCATGCCCTGTATATGCTGCCCAAGGTTTGCAGGCCGTCTGCGTGGGTGGGTGCTGACGGGCTGGGGCGCCAGACGCCTGCTGTACAGCGATAGGTCCCTGCAGCCTTCAGCACCCAACAGAAACAATGATTGGTTGTTTCCCATGCTGCGCCCATGGTCCCTTGACCACCAGTCGACGTGACGCCATGGCCGCCCCTCTCCGCCTGCCTCTGCCCTGCGCCGCAGCTACGACTTTGAAGAGACCGGTGGCGCCCGCATCCGCGACATGGCACACGAGATTGCCGGCAACGCCTCTGAGCCGCTGGAGAGGGCTGCCAACACGACGGGCGACGGAGTGATGGGCGTGGTCGGCGCGGCCACGGACACCGCGGCGGGGGCGCGTGACAAGGTCAGCGCTGGGCGCCGGGACGGAGGGTGGCTGCTGCTGCGACAGGGGGGAGTGGTTGCTGGGGGCCGATCGCACCTAGTCGTGCTGCGGACCTCCGTATAGGATGCAGCACAGGCTGCGTGGGGTCGCTTTGCTGGTTGCTGCGCCGTTGGCGCTTTTCCCCTTCAAATCTCAGCCGCGCTGCGTCTTAACCTCAATGGCGCCTCCATCACCCCGATCTCATCATCCCATCTTTCCACAATCATTTCACCCACACTCATTCCCCGCCAGGCCTCTGACATGGCTACAAGCATCGCAGGCAGCGCCCGCGGCGCCGCCGAGAAGGTCGCCGGCAGCGCGCGCAGCGCTGCGGAGGGGGCGCGCGAGATGGGGGCGCGGGCGGCCGAGGGGGTGCGCGACGTGGGAGGCAGGACGTCCGAGGCGGCGCGCGACCTGGGATCGAAGGCGGCCCAGGGCGCTAGGGACGTGGGTGACAGGGCCGTTGAGGGGGCTGAGGCTGGCTCACACGGCCTGGGCGAGCGCACGCACGCGGAGGGCAGCGAGGGCGGGCAAGGGGGCCGTGGCGGCGGCGGTGCAGACGGTCGCACAGGGACGCCCTGATGCGGCTTTCAATGTGTTGACCTACCGACTGGCGGTTGAGAGGTTGCGGCCGTCAGGAGGTCTAAGCCAATGGCGGTGGTGGTGCTGTTTTGGTGCAGTGGTTTTCCACACTGTGTTGTCACACTGTGTTGTTGACTGTGAAGAATAGCTTTGCTAGGTGCCTGCTGGCAGCTGTGGTAACTAATGTCGTCTAGGTTTGTTACCGACGCAGCCGTCGCAGCAGTCGGTGTGGCTAAACCAGCACCGTATTCAGTGGACAAGCCGCCACTCAGAAACAGGCCCAGGCGGAAGAACTGCATGCACCAAGGCCTCCTGCAGAGCTGTGTGGGTCAGGAGGCAACGCAGCCCCGTAGAGATTGCTGCCAGCCGGTTGGGTGCCAAGGGTCCTGGCACGCAGCAGAGTGAGGTCCATGCTCAGCTGGTGCACAGCGTCCAGGGATTTACACGTGCCTGCCACCCAGACTTGTCTGCCGTCAGGACACTTCTGCAAAGGAATGATCATTAGCCATAACTACAAGAAGAAATGAACAGGAAAGCGCGCACACAATAATAGGCATGTATCCACCAACCGATTACTTAGTAACCCTTTTCAAGCCGCTTTCCCGGGTGGTTGCTGCGGCGACTGGGGCGCGGGGCCATCGCCCCCCTCGCCCCTGCTCTCAAGCTGCGCCGCAAACTCCTCAAATGTGATGTTGGCTGACCCGCGCTTGGCGGCGCGCGGCTGCGATTTGGAGGGAGACCAGCCGGTCATGTACATCACCTAGGGGGGCAATGTTTGGAGGTTTAGGGGGTGGGGGCCTTGGGCATGGGGGTCGGGGGAGGGTGGGGCAAGTAATGGGGTGAAGGGCGGGGATACACTAGCTTGAAGGAGGGTCGGAGGTAGTGCAGGAGGTGAGAATTTGACGGGCCTGCGGAATGCTTGCAGTCGCCCTCTGGTGACTGCCGTGTATCCAGATCGACCGATGGGACCGGATTGTGTGGGGAACGGAAGACGCGCAGGAAAGGGAGGGTGGGGACACGGAACAGGCTGCGGCAGTGGGGAATACAAACAAGCCTTGTTTGGCTGCACCAAAGGTGACGCCCGCAACAGCGCCCCTTGCTACAAGCAGCGGGCTGCTATTGAAGCCGCGCGCCGGCCGTCCCCGGCCCCCAGCCCCTCCAAGGCCTACCTGGTACGTGGCAGCGATGCCCTCGCCCCCCTCAGCAGGAAACATCCCCTGATACGCCGCCGCCGCCGCCAGCGCGGACCCCCGCCGCAGCGGCCCGCGGCGCCGCGAGGCGAGCGCGCTGCTCTCGCCCATGGAGCGGAGGTGGGAGACGAGCTCGAGGGGGGAGGGGTAGTTCATGACGAATGAGTCAACGTCGACGGTGGGCAGCGCCAGGTCAGCGCGCGTCAGGAGGTTGCCGGCGTCGCGCACCTGAGCTTGCGGGGAAGAGGGCAGCAGGGTCAGAGCAGTGAATGGGTTTCAATGTACGATTGTCAGCTGATGTGTCCAGAGATTGGACAAGGGGCTGGGATTTCACACCCGCAGGACTCATCAAGGGGCCAAGTCAACCCGGCGCTGCCGCGGACAGCGCCGGCCGCACCTGTGCGAGCGGCGACACAAACGGCGACACGCCGCCCTCCCGTTCCTGCTGCGCCACGGCGCACGCGATGCGCAGCTCCTGCAGGGTCTCGCCGCCGTACATGGCCGCCAGGAACAGACCGTCGGGGCGCAGCGCCAGGCGGGCCTGAGCCATCGCACCCTGCGGGCGTGGCGCGTGAGCGGATGCGTGGCGCGCGGTGCAGGATCACGTGATTTTGAAGCAAAATTTGTTATGGCTTTGGGTGCAACTGTCGTGGGCAGCGAAGAGGCGAATGCGCAGGAGGCGGGGGCATATGATGTGGGCGCGGCTGTAGCGGCAGGCCCGTCGCTCAGAGGCGCGCCACTGTTCGGCCGCGTGCCCCGCCCATGCAGGGGCGGCCGCTGTCGCTCCCGCCGGGGGGCTTGACGCCACGCGCGGGGGCGGCGCGGCTGGGGGCTCAGGGCCGGCCGCCCGGGGTAGCGCGTGGGCGGGAGCTTTTGCATAGGTGAGCGCAACATGCCATGCACAATCAGATCACGTTTTGTCTGCAAGAGACACGGATAACAGGGCTAGGGTGAACAATAAGTGACGATGTTGCCAAGCTCAAAACACAAAACACAAAAACACAGTGAGATCTGAGAGCCCCTACAGAAATGGCGGCCGCCGGCATTGGTGCATGTGACCACCCACCGGCAGGTCATTGGCCCAATGGAGGCCCAGGCAGCTGATGACAACTGGGGTGATTTGAAAAGGGGGAAAACATACCAGTGAGTGTAGCGAAGCGCTGAGAAAGCAAACTCAGCGATGACAGCCTTTGATGGGTGGCAACCCTCAACCCACCTCTGCGGCTGAGGAGCAAGCGCTCCTCAGGCGCGAGGTGGGTGCCCACAGCCTCGTCCACGGATGGCGTTTGCACGCCTGCGCTCTCGCACGTGCATGGCGGCCAGCCTCCGCAATGTCACCCCGACCCACCGTCGACGCTGCCAGGAGCGAGCGGAAGGCTCTCCTCGTCCCCCACTAGATAGTGGACCTCCGGCCACTGCTTCGAAGGGTCGTCCGCCTGCCGCTGCGCCCGCCGTTCCTGCGCGTGCGGCGATGCGAACATGGAGGGCCGCGGAACCGAGGGTTGACATTGGCTGCATCGGCGGCCTGACAAACAGGATATCTGGGATCCGGGGCAAGGCCTGGACATGTTTCCACAGAGTCGTGCCCCCTCTGGCGCTCGTGGCCGCCTTGCCGTGCGACACCCCCGCCTGGCGCGCCCTACCCACGCTGGCGCTTGCGGCAGCGCGATGCCTGCGGCTAGCAAAACAGCCCGAGAATACCATTGTAACGACTTAACTCATTTGCTGTTTGCTGGAGGCGACATAACGGAACAATATGCGCATGGTGAGGATGCATGCGACGTGTAGGGGAGGGCGTCATCCGAGCCCCACCTGAGCCAGCCGTATCATCTCCGGTGACGTGTCGATGTGGATGACGCGCTCCACGCCACGCCGCCCCAGGGGCAGCCGCTCCGCAACATAGTCACCTGCGGGCAGCCACGGCGCGGCGCAGCAGTCACCCCGCAACACTCGCCTTCGTCGGGGCGCCAAGTGGGAGGCGATCGCATGTGCACGCGCATGGCAAGTAGCATGAACGAGTCCGGCTGCGCGCGTGCAGCAGCTGCTCGCAATTTTGGTCTAGAGCCTAGCGCAACAGCAACGGCGGAAGCAGGTGTCCACCTGCGCCGCCGAGGATAACTGCTGTGGGAAACTTGGCGACGCAGTCCTCAAGGCGGTCCAGCAGGCGCTCCGCCACGGTCGAGAGCAGCGGGTCGTCGCGGCGCCGCAGCGCGGCCGCGCGTGCGCGGTGGGCGCGCTTGAGCTCCCTGGTCGCGCCGGCGGTTGGGCGCGCGGGCGTGAGCCGTCCGGTCGCGGGGGCGCCGTCATCAGCGCAGGCATGGAACTACTTGTGGCTCTGGCGCTGCGTTTGTGGAGCCTGCCTGCTTAATGATTGATTGTGCCCATGTGGCAGCCTGGCTTCACCTGTCAAAAACGTCTATGCCGGAGTGCTGGCGGGCGCCGCCTGCCTCGCGCGCTGCGACCTCTGATTGCTGCCGCGCTGCCTCGGCCTCGTTGTGGAGCAACGAGCAGCCCAGCGTCTTCACGGGATGTAAAACATTCCTCAGGGCCTGCCATCGCTGCCAGAGCGCCATTGGGCTCAAGATGAGTGAGCGGCTGCGACACCGATGTGGTTACACCCGGTGATCTGGCAAATCGTGACGTCCAGAACTAAGCACGATACCTGCATGAAATGTGTATTCAAACTTCAAGCTGGTGCTGACTTTTGCACACTCTACAGCCGATCTACCTGACTGAAATCGCCAGCAGCTGCACAGCCGGGCCATGGAAGAACAGTCAGAGCAAGATGAGGATGATGCAGGTCTTGACACGGAGGCGCTGCGGCAGAAACTCTCTGCGGCGCCCAAGTATGGCGCCAACGCGCGCCTGCTGCTGCTCAATGCGGCCCGAGCTCTGGCCGCTGAGGAGGAGGCTCGCGGCATCCAGCCGGGAAAAGGTGACAACAGGAACTGGGGCACCGCATCAACACATAATAGCATGACATAGCCAAGCAGTTGAAGCAGTGCAGCACGCGCATGCGTGGTGCGCCGCACCTCAGCAATTGCAGTCAAACCAGTCAAACGCTGCGTCACCTGCCCCACCCACCCCTCCGACATCCGATCCGCAGCGCCCATCAAGCGCCGCCAAGCAGGCGGCGGGGGTCCCGCCTTGGTGGCCCAGCCGCCGCAGGCCACGGGCTCCCAGCTCCTGGCGCTGGTGCCTGCCAAGGCGCGCCCCTGGGTGCCCTACCACGCACGTGCGTGCACCACGCAGCAGGCGCGGCAGCAGGTGGCGCTGAACCTGGCGGGCTCCTACCTGGCCCTGCTCGCGCGTGTGCTCGGCCTGCAGCCGGCGGAGCGCGCGAAGCAGGTGTGTGCTGTGGCTGCTGCAGACACATCGCCTCGGTTGAGCTCCTGTGATACCCACCACCCCCTCAGCAGCAATCAATACAACTGAGCCACCCCCGCCTTGACCATCAGGCAACGACATGGCTCAATCAAATAATGAGTTGGCTGACTTACCATCCAGCAATCAAAACTGAATCAGATGCGATTACATACCCTTTTCAATCAAAATTTGTGCTGCCAGGCAGTCCAGGGCGACCCTCAGATCCAAGAGGCAGCGTCCAAGGCAGCCCTCGCCCACGAAGCCGCGGTCCATCTGAGTATCAACACGGCCATGCAGTACAAGCAGGCGGCGGGGCGGCTGGGGGTGCACGCGGCGGAGGAGCGGTACGTCCCCGCAGGGCTGATGGAGCAGCTGCAGAGAAGATACGTTTCAGGGGCCGCAGGGGAGGGGCGGACGGCGGCGGCGGCGGCAGGGGCAGGCCAGCTAGAGGCGCGGCGGATGCAGGCGCAGCAGGAGGGGGTGCAGCAAGCTGAGAGCGACGAGGCGCGGGAGGAGGGGGGTGGGCAGGAGGCGGACGGCGCGTCACACCACCAGCAGCAGGCGAAGCGGCCGCGAGTCGGCCTCGCAACCAGCGGCCGCAGCAGTGGCAGCCGAGACGGCAGCGAACCGGCCGGTGCCTCAGGAGCCGGGCTCCCCAGCGAAGATGCGTCTTTGGAAGAGCTGTTTGGGTCTGATCAAGAGGACGACGAAGATCAGCCGCGGCCCCCTGCCAGGGCCGCCGCTGCAGCTGCGGAGCCGGCCGAGGAGGCTGCAGCAGTGCCTGCCGCAGGTCCGCTGCCCTGCGAGCCCGCGCTTGCGGGGGCAGTGCCGGCAGCAGCGCCAGCGTCGGTGGGTGGGGCACCGCAGAGTAATAATGCACAGGTACAAGGGCAGGAGGAGGCACAGCAGCAGCAGCAGCAGCAGAAGCACCAGCAGCAGCAGCAGCAGCAGCAGCAGCAGCAGCAGCAGCAGCAGCAGCAGCAGCAGGAAACCTCGCAGGCGCCACCACATCAAAAGGAACAGCAGCAGGAGGAGCAGCAAGTGTTGCAGCCACCACATCAGCAGGAGCAGCAGAAGCAGCAGCAGGCAAAGCAGCAAAGCACGCCACCTGTCAAGATCGGCAAGCGGGACTTGACCCTAAAACCCCCGTCCTCAGGAATCAAACCGCAGCAGCAGCAACCGCAGCAGCAGCAACCGCAGCAGCAGCAACCGCAGCAGCAGCAGCGGCAGCAGCAGCGAGACCCAGCCACGCACTCTCCGCCGTCCCTGCCCCCCGCGCCGCCACCTCCCCTGCCCAACGGCGCGCCCCCGCAGTCGCTGCCGCCCGCGGCCGGCGCAGTCCGTGGCCAGGTCATGTCGTTCGTGCGCGGCGTCCTCGACCCACTGCGCGGCGCCAACCTCGTCGACGACGACCTGGGCGATCTGGTGGCGTCCAAGGCTACGGACAAGATCATGGCGCGCCACGAGGGCGCGTGCGACGCCGACTTCCTCGTAGGGGAGTACCCCCAGGTGCGTGTCCCATGTCATGCCGCGGCACTCGCAACCGCCGCCCTGTGCAATACTCTGGTCATCGGACCGCTTGTTTAGCTTCCCAGCTCCAGAGAGCCCGATGCTGCCGCCCGACCCAAAAGCACGTCCCTTGCCCCTCATGATTATTGACGTGCGAGTTGCCCTCAACCCGTCGCCTGCCCAGATCACCAAGCTCGTGGGCGCGCTGGTCGAGCACTACAAGAAGCAGCGGCGGCACCAGCGGCAGCAGCAGGCTGCGACGGCTGCGGCGGAAGGGCGAGGGCCCGGGTAATTGGCCAGGTCGCGTGCGATTGAAGAAACCTGCTGCCTAGTTTGGTGGATGCTGCCTCACAGGACGATGACCCGGCTCGCCCTGCGCTCGACTGCGTGTGGCTGTGCTACGAGGCAGCAGGGGTTGGCGCATGCAGGCGTCGCAGGTGGCTGATGGGTCACAGCCCGGGCTTGCACCCACCCCTAAAGCGTGGCGGTGAACATGGAACCGTAACAAGGGGCCGGTGCCTCACGACAGGTCATGCGAAATCACAGAGAACACAAGACAGCAAAGCACGCAAAATCGAGGCAACGGACGGTCAAAGAAAGTGTGGATGTGTGCGTGTGCGCAACTCCCACATGCCGCCAGGCGTAGTCAGAAAGTCAAGATGGGGAGTGCGGGGCGCCGGCCGGCCTGGGTGCACCTGGATGCAGGGCCGCCGGCAGCGCAGCAGGACGGGCGTCTTTCCACCGACGGGTGGGTCCATAAACACATGAAAAACGCGGCGGAGGTTGGCGGCCCCCCCCTGGTACTGGTCAGACACCAGCTGAAATTCGTGCACCACTGCGCCAACCCCAAGTAGTACTGCAGGCGGCCCGTCGCCACGAGGCTGCGGCAAGCGTGAGAGTTCTCAATGGAATGTCAGGTCAAGCAACATCGGGTAAAGACGGAAACCTGCAAAGGGGTGGGCCAACGAACCCCCTGGCACATGCACTCGTGGCTGCAGTCATGGCGTTATCAACATCTCGCAGCCGGCGCCACGTCCACAAGCGGCCCCCGCCGTCAGCCAAAGCCGGCCAGCTGGTGCTTCAGGGACTCGATCGCCGCTCGCACGTTCGCAAACGCCGCCGCGCTGCCGGGCGCCCGCGGCGCGAGCCGCTGCAGCGCCGAGTCGAGCACCGCCCAGACGGCGCCCAACGGCATGCTTTGCTGCTGCTGCTGCTGCTGCTGCTGCTGCTGCTGCTGCTGCTGGAGGAAGGCGGGGCCGTCCAGCGCAGGAGTGGCGTCCGGGGCACCGCCGGCGCCCGCAGCTGTCGCCAGCTTGGCGGCAATGAGGACGCCCACGCATGAAGCGATGAGCTCCTCTATCGCCGCCTCGTCCGCCTGCCTTTGCAGCTGCTGCTTCTGATGCTGCTGGTCCTGGCCGGATACCGCCGGTGCGGGTGCGGGCGCGTTTTGGGAGCTGTGCGAGCGCACCAGCTGCCTCGCGCGAACCGCGGCCTCCGACATGACCGCCTCCACCGCTGCCAGCGGCCCCACAGATGGAGCTCCACGGCCCAGCCCCGTTGCCGCCGCGGCCGCTGCCGCCGCGGCTTGCTGCTGCTGCTGCTGCTGCTGCTGCTGGTGCGCCGCCACCGCCTGCCTGAGCGGCGCGACGGGCCCGTTCAAATGCCGCCGCGGCGACAGCTTGATCATGGCGGACGCGATCTCGGCGTTCACGATCTCCAGATCTGCGAGGGCGCACGCATACGAATCCTGGAACTCGCCAGAGGGCCGCCCAGAGTCGCCGTCCAAGTGCGCGCCCGCCTCCGCGGTGGCATTGAGGGCGCGCAGGCGGTCCAGTGCGGCGTCCTTGCGGGACAGGAGGCCTGGGGTGGCGCGATGCAAAGGGGGAGGGTTGCGGATGGGGCGGCCTGGTCGTGCGCGCTGCTGGGGTCGGTGCCACCCGACCGGCGGGCGGCACCGTAGCACCGAACACCCCAGGGGCACATGGTCTGTGGGTCATCCCCAAGCAGGATTTGGTCAACGCTTCTTGGTACCAAGCTGACCACCACAGCGTCCAATCACCCGTACAGTCCACAGGGTACCGCAAGGCGCCCCGTGCGCCTGTCGCAAGTGCGGTGGCCCAAATGACGGACTCAAAATCATTATTTGCGGCTCCCCTTCCAATTCCACAAGGACCCACCCTCAATTTGCTCCAGCAGCTCTGAGTCATCCCGCCCCTGCGCCTCGTCCACCACCGGCACCGCCGCCGCGCCGCCCGCCGCCCACGGCCCCCCGGGCGCGCCCCTGCGCCTCGCGACCGCCGGCGCCGGCGCGACGACGGGCGCGCCCGTGGCGGCGGTGGCGCCGATCGGCGGGCCCAGGGAGAGCTTCGGGATGGCGGGGTTAGGCGGGAGGGGGCGCGGGGTGGCGAAGCGGGACCAGGGGGGGACCGGCAGGGCGGGCGGCAGGGATTCGAAGGGGTCTGCTGCGGCGACGTCCGTGTCGCGCACCACCTCGGTCATCAGGTCGCTCCTGGGGTGTGAAGAGTGTGTGTGTGTGTGTGTGTGTGTGTGTCTGAGTGAGTGATCCCGCATGCATATGAGTACGCAGGCATTGGGGTGCCATGCTGGTTATCTTTGATGGCGTGGCAGAAAGCACAGCACGCCACGCGCGACGCCGCGCAGCCGGCTTGAGGGCCCAGGAACATGTACCCACACAGGGTACCACAGTGCAGGCAAGCAACGCGTGCGCCCCTGCTGGCAACGGACCAAACGGCTGCTGATTCGCCGGGGCGCGCGCTGCGAACCTGTTGAACTGCACGCGGTATCTGCTGGGCTGCATCGTGAGGATGATGCCGTTGGCCAGCCGCCGCGTCACCGGGTGGCGCGCCACGACGGGCTGCCCGACGCGCAGGGGGCGCGGCATCTCCGGCGGCAGGCTGCCGCCGCCGGCGTCGACGAAGGCCTTGCGCACAGACTCCCTGGTGGGGGGGGGGGCGTGGTACAGAATGGGGCGCGGTGCAGCCAACGAAACAGAAAAAAGTACCATACGTGTTGTATAAATCCTGGCATGAAACGTGGGTCAGCAGCACGAAGCCATGAACGCCTGGCAAGCGCGTACTTTGCGTGCACATACCTACACACGCGCGAGCGTGCGCGCACACACACACACACACACACACACACACACACACACGCGCGCGCGCGCACGCGCGCACGCGTGCATGCGCGCAAAAACGAGCGCGCACCTGTACAGCTCCAACCGCGCCCGCTCCTGGCGCAGGAACCCGAGGCTGAGCCGCCGCGGCCTGCCCAGCGCGCCGCGCAGCACCGACCATTCGGGCCGCGCGAGCTTGACGTCGGGCGGCACCTGGGGCGGAGGGGGGCGCGCACCAATCGATGACTGCTCACAGGAGCCTGCTGCGCACCCGCATGGTCCTGCCCATGGTTGCCAATCGATTGCCGGCTCGCAGTCCTCTGACTGGCAACCAGCCGCCTCCCGGGACATCCCTATCCCTCTCCTGTCCGGCTCCAGCCCTGACACCCTGCTGCCCCGCTCCACACCTCGCATCACCCGGCCCACCTGCAGCGCCCCCAGGTAAGCGGCCATGTCAGACGCCATGAAGTAGGGCCGGTCCAGGCTGGAGTAGTGCCACTCCGCCGCGGCCCAGCGCCGCACCTTGGCGCCGCCCAGCGCGTGGCGCAGCGCGCGCTCGGCGGGGCTGGCAACGCGCTGCAGGGAGGCTGCGGCGTCGCCGCTGGCCTGCAGGCCGGGCGGATGTGTGTGTGTGTGTGTGTGTGTGTGTGTGTGTGTGTGTGTGTGCATGCAGGACGGCGCAGTGTTTGTGTTTGTTTGTGTGTATGTGTGTGTGTGTGCGTGTGTGTGCGCGTGCGTGTGTGTTTGCGCGTGCGTGTGTGTGCGTATGTGCATGTGTGCGCGCACACGAACATGCACGTAGATGTGCAGGGCCAAGCATCAACAGGCAGAAGAGCGGCAATCAGCAGCGCGGCCCGCACTCTTGCAGCTGCCAGGCCGCCCACCTGTTTGCTGAGCCCGCCCGCGCCCTGGGGCAGCCGCTCCGGCGCCGACTTGCGCTTGCTGTGCCGCCCGCCGCCGCTGTCCATGAAGCTCGACAGCCGCGGCCCCAGCC